TTTTGTTTGCTTGCTTAATTATTATTAAATTTCTTCTCAAAATACAGAACTAGTAATTAAATATTTTATACTATGAATTTGAAATATATGAATATATTTTTCAAACTTGTCCCAACGTTGGGGGAGGGGGCAGGTGCCCTCTCTTGGCCCCCTCCGGAGTTCTGCCTCTGAGGAAAGCATGCGCCACGAGGCCGCAAGGGGGGATGGCGGGATGCTACGAGCGAAATAAAATCGCTTTTACTACGTGCGTCAAACAATAATTTAGACAGTCTTAAAGACTTATTTTTTATTTTAATTCAAGTGTGAAAATCACTTAAAAGTACATTAAGGTCATCAGTAGCGATCGGACAAAAGTATTTTGTTTTCTTTGTTGCATTCACAGATTCATCTTAAAACTATCGTCTCACTTTTAGCACTTACACTAAAAATTGAACTTTCACCATGCGCTGCATGCCCTGAAAGAACAGATTTTACTAGTGGTTGTATAAAAAATCATTTATGCTATCTTCATTTATCAAGGAGAAAAGCAATTTACCTTCTCCGATCGATCCTTTATTTGAATTGATACATTTTCTTATTTCTTAGGATCTCCTCATAGATGTTGTGGCCTTTTTAAATGACACGACAGGAACACTTATGTCGTGTGCTTGGAAGAAAAACAACACTAGAATAGGCCTTATTATTGGTAAGTGTTCATTGCGATAAACACAAACTTGTTTAACTTAAAAGCCATCTAAAGCTAACAGCGACCAAAACCCAATCTCAAACATACCATCCAAAATTAAAGACTATTCTTTGGATAATTAAATGCTGTATTTCCGCTTTGTATGCACTTTGGTATTTTTCAAACTCAAGGGCTCTGTTAACTTTAGTCTTAAGTTCGCAGGGCCCATCTACAAAATACAACTTCCCTTCATTGCAAGACAACGAATGTGTTTCCAAAAGTGAAGGCTAAATTTAGGCTGTAGGAGAAAAGTGTACCACTACATATTTTCCAAAAATGAGGGCTGTGCAAAGAGAAACAATTAACATGCGTTCGTATGGGAGAATACATATCAATATTCTACAAAAATAGAAAAAAATATGAACCCTTACCCCAATTTTAACGCTAATTTTAGTCTCTAAAAAATAATTATTTCAGCATTTATATTCAAACTAATGATTCTACAAAACCACCTACTTTCTCGCATTATTTCTTGATGCTTCACTGTAATATAGTACTTCATAAACCTACAAAAGAGTTTTCAACAAGCAAAAATTCATTTCCACTCCGAGACTCGAATTCATATTCTCAGAGTTAATTTGCTGTCCACTACCCCAAGGGAGGCTCCGTTAGGTCGAACTCAGGCAGACGCATATAAATGTGCTCCATTCTGTAAAAGCCCTTAAAAATTAAATATATTTGCAACTCCCAAAGCCTCTAGTTCGTGCATATCGATCATATCACAGACAGGCAGACGGACAGACAGACACAGACGTGTTGCAATTAAAAACAAAAAAACGGAAACACAGCCAAAAATGGTTGTAACACCATTTTTTACCGTCCCTGTTACATATGGAGGAGAAAATTTAAAGAAAAAAATAGGAGCAGTTTTGAAAAACGAAAAAAACCCTATATTTCCCGCAAAAGTTCAAGAAAAATACTCATATTCTCGCAGCATTGAACAAGAACTTATTTAAACTTTCATCTTTAAGAAACAAATTTCATTTAAAAAATATCTATCTTCAATATTATGGTTGTAGGAAGACGATACCTAAAATTATACTGTTGTAATTTTCAAAAAATATGGAATTTCACTATTTTCTTTAGCGTCCTTCCAGAGACGAAGTTTGATTAAAAATATTGGTTCCATTTTTTACAAAATATTGAAAATGTTTTTGAGGCTTCATATAAAGCACACTCAAAAATCAAAATATCCGTTCGAAACTCCAAAAGCCTTGAGTTAATTCAGATCAATTGGGAAATATCATTATTTAGAAAAAAGGCAGAACGATTTAACCGCTAGCGTTGACCACAGACAGACAGAAACACGTTTGCCGTCAATCAATTTTTCGGTATCAAGGACTCACAAAACATGGATTCTGGCTACACTACGTGTTAAAGACATTTTTTCTAAATTTAACAACAGAATTGGTCCACATTTTCTTACCAAAGCCCGGAAGTAAGAGTATTTCTGCGGAAAATTCGCCGTTTTGCGGCACACGATCAGATAACTTTTGTTTTTTACGAAGTATGTAGTGAGGCGAGAGAGTAAAAAGCATGGCTGTACACTGAAAAATAGATAACACATACTTTCTTATAGGTACACACGAAAATCAATGCGCATCAGAATAATACAGAACCCTACCAAAATTTAAGACTAATTTTAGGTTCGAGGAAAAAAACTAGATAGAAGGTGGAAAATATATTTATATTTTCAAATTAAGTATAGTTGTAGTAGTAAAAACTAATAATTTATAAAAAAGTATTTGTTGTTTCGTATGCGGTATTAGAATTTCTGGTATTAGATCGTGCAACAAAGTTTTTGTTAACTATTTAGCATCAAAAAGCGATAATTTACTGTGAAACTTTTTCATTTAACTTTGATGATAAATAAATAGAGATATTGTCAGGTATCAATATTTTAATTCCACTAATGATCATTTCGATCGCGTAGCGATCTTCCTCAGAGCTAAAAACAATACAAATATACAATGTGAAATATTAACAGGTTGGTTATTGTATACAAGATGCGTAAGCAAACTGGATCGTACATACCTTGCAGCTTCTGGGCCGAAAGCTGCGGCTTTATTTATTTATCAACATAAAAAAGGTATCTACTTCACCAACAATCCAATTAATTTAACTTTGAAATATGCCGGTTTTCGTGTATTCGGGCTTATTTGATGTAAACGGAAAATTACATTTAGGTTTAGTTCAAGAAAGACAAACTTTTATTATGCATAACAAATTATCAACAAGTAAGCGACGATTTGTTAGATTCACTTCTGGTATTTTCGAAAACTTTGCAACGCTAAGTTTACGGAACTAATAAAATCACTTCACCTAGTACGTCACACACTATTTTGTAGACATCCTACTGAATTCCATTTAATGTTAATTAATTTTCACATATAGTTTTTTTGGGGGTACTATGATTCGCTAAAGGTCAGTTGTAACTGATGCGCTGAGATCAGTGGCGGCTCTTGCCTATTTGCACGTTCGCCAAAAACATCTCCATATACGTTCATGTTTCATTTTTAGAAAATATGATCAATTGGAGACCGGGAGGTTGAAGGTTCGAATCCTGACGGTGGCAGGACTTTTGACAACCTGGATAACTAGGTTGAATCCAGTCGCTGTCTGGAGTAGAATTCAAGCGACCGGTTTGAATGAGCGATAGTTTTCCGCGGTTTCTCCGATCAACACTATGTGAATGCTGGAGCACTACCTTAACAAACGGGCCACGGACCGCGCGTGATCTTTCCTTCCCCTTCTTATCCTATCTTTACCGTTATTGAGACATACTTATTCTAACCCACTCCACTAGCACACATGCCGGGAGCATCGTCCCGCATCACACCAGCCAGCGCGGGAAGAACTCCGCTTCCTCTTGCTCTTTCAGGAACAATGACTTCACCGTTCACGCGCTCGCAATCACCAACCAATGAATCATCCCAACACTTTGCAAGACTTACGATAGAAATGTTTTAATATTTAAACTTGCGTCGAATGTACGTTGAAAGTACTGCATCTCTTCTCAGGAACGGGTACCAACTCCTGCTATGTGGAAAAGGTCGAGAACGTGTCCAAATTTGACGGGGACAAATCGAAACCCTACGTCATCATCAACACGGAGAGCGGGGCGTTCGGCGGTCAAGGGCAGATCGAGTTCGTGCGCACAGACTGGGACCGAGAACTCGACGCTGGAACCATTAACCCAGGTGTAAACATGTAAGCATTTGAGGGCACGCCGAAATCAACAATGCAGGCGCACCGGGTGCGGTAGCTCAGGCTCTGCAGCTTCGTCGACCGGGAGACGGCACTCCCTCTGACCAAGATTTCCTCGGGCTTTCGACAGTGCCTCGTCAACTAGGTCGAATTCAGACGCTGTCTGGAGGAGAATTCTAACGGGCTACGGCCCACGCACAGTCTTTCCTACCTCTTGCTTATCTTTTTCTCACCCCTTACACACACTTATATGCCCTACACTATACTCGGCTGGGGCGGTGCGTCGCTGGTGGGAGATACCTGCTTGGGGAAACCCCGCTAGTCGATGGCAGTTCGGCGCCGGATCTCGCCGTACAGCGGAGGAAGCCCCCCCCCCCGAGGAAAGACACTACGCTTGTACTACGCTTTTGGGACCAATGAACTCAATAGTTGACGTACCCGGAAATTCTAATAATCATGCATCTGTGGTTTCTCCAACCAACAGCAAGCAAATGCTGGAGCAGTACTCTAACAAACGTGCTATGGACATAGTTACAGTTCTCTGATCTCTGTTCAATTGTTTGATATTTTGATTTTAATAATGGGTATACTGCCATATTTCGGCTGTGTATACTCCAAAGCAATTTTGTATACTTAAAAAAAAGCACGTTTTGGAATATTTTCAAGCGCAAGTACGTGATTTTTGATTGAGGATTGCTCAAAATTATTCGGGCCAAATTTAGGAAAATCGCTCCAGTGGTACTATTATTTGTCACACATACCATTGTCAACAACTTCGCATTAATATAGTAGTAACATAATAATAATTGAAATATAATATTAGAATGTGAATCTGTATTAGCTGTAATTGTAAAGAAAGCTGAGTAAATGAATGAGGATGATAATGATGACGTAAGTAATTAAAATTTTTAATCATTACGTAGCTTGTAAACACAATAAATACGTAGAATTAAAATACTGAAGTTATACGTTGACATTGACCGCAAGTGCACGGGTAGACTCTTGATGTAAGAACTCATCTTTGGAAACTCACATTTTATGGATAAGACGTCCACCGCCGTCCTGTTACCAAATGCTGCAAAAAACACTAAATCTCAGTCGGAAATTTGTCTTTTGGACTCAGGATGGTATTCTAATAGAGATCCATGGGCATTATTACGACACTCCCAGTGAAGCACTCACCTAGAATCTGCCAAACGCCATTTTTAACCCCCTCAACATCAAACAAGCGATTGCCTCATGCTCTTTGTCTTCCTTGGAACACCTGGGAACTATTCATCTCAAGTTCAGCTCACAACTTATAATTGCCCCCAATTCAGCTCAATAAATTACTCGTCAAACCACGTCAATCCGGCAGTATCATTACTTCTGGAATATCCAACGCATTCTCTTCATGATTCTACGTTCATTATGTACCCGAGAAAGAAAAAAAATAGATTAACATTTTGCACCAAGAAAAATATCTCATAATACCTTATTTTTAGCGATTTTTCTTATTTTCATGAAGTGTAGTGTAATTAAGATTGACGTATCTAATCACTGAAGTATAGCCGTAATTATAACGGTTCTTAGTACTGAATTGATTTTCTTTATACTGCTCTATTCTTTCCATTGGTGAGTTTCCAATTTGAATTTTTAACACATTTAAACGTTGATAATATTAAATTATTTTTGTCTAGTACGAATTCTACGTCGTATTCTTGAGTTTGGGTCAAATAAAAAGAAAACAAACAACCGACATTTCGGTCATTTCTTCGTCCTTCATCAGGACTACAAAACAGGTAAACCATTTCTTTACATACAAGAATATGTATAGTGTCAATTGCATTCTTCGATAAAAATACAAAAAAATGTTAACGTTTAAGTTGCTTAAACAAAATGGTATTTTTTATTTGAGCCCAACTCAAGAACCACTAGACACATAAAACGTTTATATTAACACGCAGATACAGTATAACTTGCAATCTTGTACAGTTGCGAGAAGATGATTTCCGGCATGTACTTGGGGGAGTTTGTCCGTCGAGTTCTCGTCACTGCAGTTGAGCGACAGTTCATTTTCGGAGGAGTTGCAACGGAGCAGCTCAAGACGAAAGACAGTTTCGAGTCAAAGTTGGTGTCGGAGATTGAAACGTAAGTGCACTGTTAGAACTGCATCGATGAAGTGAAGTTGAGTAATAAAGAAAATGTTGAAGTCATTAATTATAGCTATTAACATACCTAGAAATGTTATGAGTGTTATTACTGCCGATGACAAAAGTTACAAATCGAGGCGTAGCGTAGCGGGAGATTTTAAATTTGGACGTGGCAGTAGTAACACTGTAACATTTCTAGGTATCTTCAGCGTTTTATCGGTCACCTAAAATCTCACTTTTTTTTGGAGAAAATTTACGACATTACTGCGATATGAAACACATGAATTATGTTGTTGCAGCACGATAATCGATATTGTTGGGTATTGCTTGCGATATATCTATTTTAACAATACACTTGTATACCGTGGCTCGAAGAAGATGGATGCTGAGAATTCGTCTGTACCTCAAGAATTTACCGAATATTTATTTTGTAATCTGCAATTAATTACATAATACTTAATAATGAACATCCACAAAAACAATGCGTTTCTTTGATGAATATTTGTCTTGTAAATTACCATGAGATTTTATCGTAATAATGTTGGCTTGCGATGAATGGGTGGTTGTTTATTTAGGTTACTAAGGATGATAAACCCTGTTGCTACGGATTTTAAATTTCTGAACATACAGGTAGGTTCAAGTGCACATAACAAACTTATAGGGTTGCATGTTACAAGGGTTAAAGAGGCATGCGACCGATAAAGTTATGAACGTCAACAATGATAGAATTGCCTCCTAGATACTCGAGGCCCGCCTGCGTATCCGAGCTAAGGCTGAAGGGCCATAGTTGTCTTGGCTCGAAGGGTCACGATTTCGAATCCCGCCTCTGGCATGGATGTTTGTGTGCCTTCGTGATGTCTTTATGTGTTAGTCTTACAGCTTCCCCTACAGTCAAAATAATCACAGAGGTTGCATGAACCTTCTGGGTGAAAAAACACGATAGATGTGGTATCTTTCGTGGAGATCGGTCCTACGGTGTCGAGGTTAACCTCTCTTATTTATACCAACATCCGTTTTAATATATAGAGATTCTTATCATTTCATCACACCTTTTGTCCGCATTAGGTGAACTTGGCGTAATATGCGTTCGTGCTAATGGTGATTTATCTGTCTGCCTGTCCGCCAGAGACCTGCCCGGGCAGCACGTGGCGGCCAGGAATATCCTGAACGCCATGGGCTACGGCTCGCCCTCAGAGCAGGACTGCGTGGACCTGCACTACGTGTGCTACGTGGCGTGGCAGCGGGCGGGCCGCATGGTGTCGGCGACCATGGCGGCCCTGCTCAACCACATGAACTTCCCCGACGTGACCATCGGCGTGGACGGCTCCCTGTATCGCTTCCACCCGGGCTTCTCGGACCTCATGAACAACAAGATTCGAGAGCTGACCAACCCCTCCATTCAGGTGCGTGCACGCGCGCTCCTCGCCTGCTGCAATGGCGGGCTGAGCGGCTGCAGGGGCGACGGATGTCGCAGCATTCACTTTTTGTAGACAAAATCGGACCTCTCGTGGAACCTAAATATAATTATTATTACAAGTAATACTATTATTTGTCTCACTGCCGATGTAAACATTGCCTGAAGTCGTAGGCTTCCGCGGCCAGTCATGTGCATGATCTTGGCTGTCCGGGTGACGCCGCGTCCAATGCTGTGTTGTCGACGTTTCGACCATCTTGCCGAGGTCTTCCTCAGGGCTGGTAGGCTGGTGTCGCGCATTGACGCGGCGTTGCCCGGACAGCAAAGATCATGCACGTAAACATTACCTCACAAATTACCCATTGTCAAAAATATTAATACAAAAAATATTTATGTACGTGTATTCGTATTCCAGCTTAACTCATTGAGGGAACATTGCCATTTCAACAAAACTTTACTCACAGTATTACTCGAAACTTACAACGTAGAAAGAGTACTGTGGGAGAAAGGTACCGCTCAAGGTGTGGGTGCGGAGGGAGTCACATGCCTGTACTCCGTGTAATGCTCCTTGAGCGGGCACAGCGAGTGAGGCTGGCGAGGCTCTTCAATGAACGATTATGATAAATAATTATCTGGGTAACGCCAAATATTCACTCGGTAAAGGATAAGTAAATTGCGACTATGTACTTCCCCTAGAGCTAGGTGTCAT